TTAATTATCGTAGCTGCACATACAAGATCTCCGATTAAAGCTGAGGTTCCACAGTTTATTTAGGTATATAGTATCATCACTTAGTGATCTGAACTTGCGACAGGGGAAGCAAAGACAGACATCACAACACATACCTTTACGTAACTTCTAGGGAGATCGTCTCACCGTAGCTGTTAATCTGATCAAAAGACGTGTTCAATGGCATTAAAACGAAAAAAAACGCGGCTGAATCGGTTAATCCATAGGTTGATAAAGTTCCTGGGCAATAATTGAATTATTTATAATCCATAATTCCATTTTTTATGTAAAAATCGCAGAGCAAAAGTTAGCTGCTAATGGGAGCCACCAGAGTTGCTGCTGCTTCTGCTCTTGGCAATGCAGCAGCCTAACACACACATGACCAAAATAAGGACTATGTGGGAGTTCCCCTCGATTCCATTGGCTCCGACGGTTAGAAAGAGATGTCACATGTCAAAATCCAGCAGGGGGAGCCAGAGATATGAAAAATCCACCCAAATGGCCCCAGAAGAGGTTTTTTTTTGCTAAATCTGTCTAAAAAGGTCAAATATCACTTGTTTTGCATCAATCTTGATACAGGGTACTTATTATATGTTGTACTTTTGATCCCTAAAGCTTTTAGTCTACTAACACATCATCCAAGGTTAGTTTTCACTATAAGTACAAAATATCTTTTGGACGGACACTATAATTTACAGTTTTTTACCATGTTCAATCTGAATTTTCTTTAAAATAAAAAACATCTATATTGAATCTGACTTTTCTACATCCAACTGACAGGTTTATCATTACTTTGAGAAAAAAAGATTATTAATTTAACCCTTTTAGAAGGGAAGATATGGTCATTTGTTCTGGGAATGTCATTTTCGAGCCTGAAACCTGAAAAACAGGCTCGGGGTTTAACAGGTTAGAAGAACACAGACTAAAACAGCAATGTACAGACAAATCAGATATATATTTATATACATATATTTTTTGTAATCATTATTTGTAATACTTTCTGCTGACACTAGGTGGGGCTGTGCCCCACCTGCCCCTAATGTCCAGCCGCCACTGCTTCACTTACTTGTTACTTGTAGCAGGACACGTGCGTGAAAGGTGTTGTTGCCTGGTAGCGTGGAGCTGCACAGGTAGGTGCCCTCATCCCTAGGTAACACTGCCCGGATGTTCAGACTCCCGTCATGCAGCACTGCGAGGCGCTGTCCACCGAGGGAAGGGCTCGGCGAATAAATGCTACCTTTGACAACTTCTTTTCCGTTTTTTATCCATGACGTTAAAGTCGGTGTTACGTTACCGTGGGTGTAACACGGAAGTATAGCAACGTCTCCCTTTTCGGCTGTCAGGGCCGTTTCGGTTGAGCCACTACCCGAAACTGCAGCTTAAGAAGAGAGAGAAAAAACATAATGTAAGCCGAGTTTACACTCACCTGAGGCTGTTTGGACACACCATTAACTCACCTGTCACACATAAACACATGTGTAGAAGCGCTACAGGTGTGACTGTCTTCATGTTAACTCTCCAAAAGCCTACATCGCCTTTAAAAAAGAAAGTGAACAAAAGGGCTTCCCGTCCAAACCTGCCTGACTAGTATACCTGTGTGAGCCTGTCGGAAACACACAGAGATACCTGGGCCACCAGTCCGCCCATTATAACACCAGTAACACACTATAGCAGGGAGCACCGTGACACGGGGTGAACTCTCCGCAGACCTGCTTTGTTTACTAGAGTATGCTGATCCGGAAACTTTGGTACGAATACACCACGCCCCGACCTCACCTTGTTAAAGCTACAGTAACACCATTTATTTTTCTTCTATATTAAGCATACTGGAATGATTACACAGGTAGTCCTGTTATATATGTATTTATAGATCTGTTGCTACTGCTTTTTGGTTATTTGTTCATCATTGAGCCTGAAAACAGCATTTGAAGATCATCTCACATAGAAATATGAAGCAGATGAAGTTTACTCGGTTTTTATACAGTTAAGGAATATACATACATACATATAAGTTATTGTAATTTTCATTGTAGAAACATATCATTCTTATAAAATACATGCATAACATGTGTATGACATTTTCTGAATGATAAAATCACCCAGCAAAGTCTCATTTTGCAGTTACATGGTATGTTGTAGTAAATAAAGATCATAGGTTTGCTTATAGTGTTATTGTCATTTCATTCATTATTTACAAGACTGGTTATTTCATTCTGGTGAACATTCATTCATAATTTAACATTAACATGTTAACAATTGAGGTTCTTTATAAACAAGCCTTAACAGTTATGGATAGAAAGTCATTAAAACACCATCATTGCAATATACTGTCCAAATACAAACTTTTAAGTTTTGATGGTCTTGTTCTGCTTTCAAGAGTTCGAATGCTACAACACATTGAGGAGCTTTGTTCAGCTTCGCCGTGAGCAGGGTTGCAGACACTCGAGATCTGCACTAAATGCAAATATAACCGTCCCTCTGAGGCACACTGCCTTTGCACAATCTGCATTTTCATTTATGGCCATCAAGCACTGGAAAACTCTTCCAGTTGAACTTAAAAGCTGAACTGACTTTAACTAATTATCTTATGGTGCAAAACAATTTATATAAAGCAACCAGTCATGCCAACATTAATTACACTATAATCTGAGTTTTTCCATTTTAACTGTATTGTAATATTATATTTTAACTGTAGCCTAATATGTATTATTTTATTGACCTGTACTTAAAGGTGGGGTAGGTAATTTTGGAGAAACCAGCTCGAGTGCGCTAGAATTTGAAAATACACAGCCGGAAAAAATCTGCCACTTCCTTACAGAGCCCCTCCTCCAACACACACGAAGGCTAACAGACAGGTAGGCCATCCAGTTAACTGCCGGGCCGGCTGAAATGATTGGTCATGCTTTTTACAGCGCTACGGCTTCCACAGATGAATTGTTTTTATGTATTATTGTCAAAGCATTTAACATATTCATTGCTATCAGGATGTTAAGAGCATTCCATGGAATATAACAAAAAGTGTTTCTGAAATAAGTTACATACCCCACCTTTAAATCATGTTTTATAATTGTTTGTGTGATAGATATTATGCAATATTTTAGTGTTTGTTGATTGTTGTGTCCTGCGTGAGGACTGCAGACGGAAATTAGCCATTTGCTATAATCTGGCATAATTGATATCTTCTCTTCTCTGAGATGAATGTATTTGTATGCATGGTCCTTGTTGAAATGAATACACAATACATGGAATTAATAGGAAGAAAATGTTGTATTATGTGAGAGTTTTAAGGTCAGTGGCATAGACATCTGAACCACTACAAAGGAGAGAATAGGCACCATTTATGTAACACAATTGACTAAAATAATAGGATCAATGAAGTTACATCTTCATAATAACACACAAATACACATTCCTTTGCTAAAATGTAAGAAATACTCCTCAATTTACAATATAAAGTAAACAATTATCTTTCTGTTAGACCCCAGTTTCTATAAATGGGATGTTTGGAAACAGAAAGTACTGTATGTTAATGGGGCATGGGCCCTGGAGGGGGGTCAGCCACAGAACAGTGATTGACAGATATTTCAGCAAATCACAATCCAAGTGGCAGAGAAGTGGCAGAGATGTGACAGCGCCCTCTGACGGTCGCTTGCAGCTGGGGCAGTTTGTACCGTTCATGGGTAGTCAGATTGCTCGGAAAAAATACACTTCACCAGCCAGTATTCGGCACAAGAAGCAACATAATTAACACATACTAAACTTCCCTCTGATTTGACTTGATGAAGGAAAGCCAAAATATGACTTATATAATACTACTACTACAGTGAAAAAAGACAACAAACTTGGTAACGGTCTACAAATGGTAATTTACATCAAAACTATCAGATGTTGTTTTAACGCTAGAGTAGGGGAGTCACTTTAAAAAAAACTTGCTTATATAATTTTGTTCAATACTGTTTCATAAAATCTCACAATGATATTTTTGATTAAGGTGATTAATTGTTCAGCTAAAGACGCTTATTGTTCATTACTGCCTATTTCTCCTAGTAGTACTTGAACGCTCCACTTTTGGCAGGTTTTGTGTTCATGCTTGAACAGCAGTACAGTAAAGTGGATTCAGCAGCAGGAGAACGTCACAGGTCGAAATGCCCGCAGATTTGAGCCAGTGGACCGGGGACCTTGCCCTAACGGAGGTCGAGGAGCAGCCTGCACAGCCCCTGACCGTTAAATACGACTCTGTGGAAGTCGACGAGCTGGGCAAAGTGCTCAAGCCAACACAGGTTAGTCAGCTATTGTGGGCTAACCAAGCTAACAACCCAGCTATTGTTAACACTGCGTAATTTCTGTGTTTGCTTAAAAGCTGCTGAGCGAACAAGTCGTATTTAGTAGCACAAAGGAATGCCCTTTACTTAATTATGTGATATCGGCCTGGTTGCAAACAATGAATTGGGTTAGATAATGTGTCCAGCGTGTTTGCAGCTGTAATAGACGGTGAACAGCGCCTTCTAGCGGATGCAACGCTGCTAAAGCTAAGGCATCTAAACATCCAAATGTTTATTGAAACACCAGTTTTAATAATCTCCCCCCTTTTTCGCCTGCAGGTGCAGAATAGACCCTCCTGCATCGAGTGGGAAGGATGTGACTCCAGCAAGATGTACACCCTGGCCCTGACCGACCCTGATGCTCCCAGCAGGAAAGACCCCAAATTCAAGTGAGAAGAGATTTTTACTGTTCTTAGCTGTTTCAGTGCTGTGGGCGGAACGGAAACCAGACTGGAATTTCTCAAAGAGGCCGTTTAGTTGGAGATGGTCCTGAAGCTGGGCGACAACTAAATGTCTAACTGTCTACAAGCATGTCATGCACTAACTGGCTGTGGCACAACAAGTAGTTTGTACAGAATAGGAAAGACAACAGCATTCACCAAACTCAAGACCCATCTCAGCGAGCTCAAAGATCTGGCCCATTTTGGACTCTCTGCCAGCTTGGAAGAGTCTCTTTTCGCAAGAGAATTTGCGCTTCTGCTACATGGAAAAAAATGAAAAATAAATTGGACTGATGTGCACAAACTTGGATGAACTGAGGTTCATAATTGCATCAACAACAATCTGCCGCCAACAGAGGATGCATTTCAACAACATGTACAAAGAGCAATGTTTCAGACAGCGATATGGTGTCACAGCCCGAACCCAAACCCTTGTTATGGAGTCCTGCTGGCAGGGGGTGGATTGGCAGGGGGTGGATTGGCAGAGATGGGGTCATTCAACCAGTGCTATTTACAAAACCCCCAGCACCTACAGAAGTGAGAGACATTACTCACTTGTATTGCAAAGTGTGGAGAGAGTGGAAAGTGCCAGTGCCTCTCTGTTGGCCTTCCCTGGACGGAGTTCTGCACCTGCTGTGCAGAATGTCAAAATGTGTCCCCTAACGTTTCTGAGGAACCTGACATTTAACATTATATTCTAGTATCTATATACTTGACCTCTCACATGAATTGTATACTGTACTTTGAATTAAGGTTCCAGTTTCAATAAAACCTGTACTATTTACACCTATGTTTTAGAGGTTTGCCATTTAGAACTAATACACTTGATTGTATTGGGTTACTCTTATTCTGACTATTTGGTGATGTAGTTCAGCCACCTGGTATTTCCCTCTCCAAATATAATGACCATCAGAGGGAGCATTCTTAACTTATAGGCTATTGTGCCACTTCTCCCCCATTCGGAATTTGACTGTATCAGAGAAGAGGTAGGCCTATGTCTAAAGAAATCTCATTTGCAATAGAACTATACCAGATATTTCCATACAACTACTGGTTAGTGTTCAATAGCACCCTAGACAATTCAGTAATGGTATATTTTTTAGGGATTTCTGTTTTTCTGATAAATGAGAGAAAAGCGATTGAGTCCTATGTTCCTATCACCAAAAAGTACAATTTCCGTCTAAACTAAAGCTACATTTACAGGACTATAATTCAGTATTTTTTTAGTTCAATAATTGTCTGACTATTTGGTGATGTAGGACAGCCACCTGGTTCATACCCCAGCAAATCTAAAGAAGATAAGAGGTCATTCTCAAGTTAGGGGCTTTTTAGTCACCTTTCCCATATTCGGCCTGGTCTAATTTATCTTTTTCAGGGATTGGGGTAGTTCTAAAGAACAACCCAAAG